GACATGCGCCGCGGTCACGTGAGCGGGGAGTCTGCGCTGAACACGTGACGAATTCTAACCCAGCCTACAGAGCCTGGGCAGAGAGTCCGCCTCCCCCAGGACCCCACAGTGCGCATGCGCTCCCCTCGCTGGTGACTCAAGGAGTCGCGCGGTCCTAGCACCGACCTGCAAGACTAACAAAAAGGTCTGCGAGGCACGCTAGCTGCTAGTGTGTGGTAGGGGGTGGTTCCGATAGGGCTCCGCGTCAGCCTTGGGACGTGTCTACAGCTTGATCTGTTACCCTCCATGGTGTCCGGTGATGATGAGAATATCATCCCCTCTACTCCCAGAAACCTTTTGTCTCCCATCCAGGCTACAAACCAACTGTATTTGCTAAGACAAATGGAGACATTTTTCTAGCAGCCCAAAGACATCTGCCTTTTCTGCACTACTCCAACAGCCTCAGTCCTGCCTTTTACTGCCAGCCACCGCCTATGAGCCGCCTGAAGGACCTTCAAAGAATGTCTTCTAGAACCTCCTAGTGGCTTCCAATGGCTTTGCAACTACCAGTAAATTTCCCGCTTAAATAGTCTCCTTGTCCTACCATTCATCTCTTTATGACTTCAGGGCATTTACTATCTCGCATGAAACTCGATAGTTGGCGAACTTAGGTTCTGCAAGTCAGGTAATTCGAGTTTAAATCTAAGCAAGCACTTCTAACCATCACTTCAAAACTTCCCAGAGTACCTTAAATTCTGTGATCTATTTCATTTTATTATTAATAATAACCAATTAAAATTTTCTTGCCAGGCATGGTGGTGCACATCTTTAGCCCCGGGCGGATTTCTGAGTTCAAGGTCAGCCTGGTCTACAAAGGGAGTTCCAGGACAGCCAGGGAACCCTGTCTTAAAAAAACAAAAACAACAAAAATTTCTCCTCCTTTGCAAAATGGGAATCACCCAGTTACCTGCCTCTCAGAGCTGTGCAGAGGATTAAATGAGAAAATTCAAGACCATTTTCCAGTGCTGGGGCTGTAACCCCATTGGTAGAGTGCTTGTTCAGCATACATAAACTGGGATCATTACTGGGCACTAAAAAATAAGGCAGGATGGACTATGCAGTCAGTAAGATATTTTCTCAAAAGCCAGACATGGAGGCGGGGGGATGGTTTAGTGTCCCAAGTGCTTGCTATGCCAGCATGAAGATCTGAATTCAGATCCCTAGAATACATGTAAAAACCATGGCCTAGTACCTGTAATCCCAGCACTGGGGAGGCAGAGATAAGAGTATCCCTGGGGCCTGGGGCCAGGCAGTCTAGCCAGTCTGTGAGCTCCAGGATAAAACAGGTGAGGGGCTGAAGAGATGGCTTAGTTAGGAGCACTGAGTCTTGCAGAGGACTAGAGTTCAATTCCCAGCACCCACATGGCAGTCACAACCATCCGTAACCCCAGTTCCAGTAGATACTGACCTATAAAGACCCCTGTTGTAGCGTACACTTACCTGAAAACAAAACACTCATAGACATATAATGAAAATGAAAAGGTGAAGAGTAATTGGAAGACACCAGCCTGGATCCCTTGCCTCCATGTGTACACACACAGGCACTTGCATCCACACCTACAATTAAAACACACACACACACACACACACACACACACACACAGAGTCAGGCATGTTGGATCATGTAGAGGATGGATTTTGAGACCAGCGAACACAAATACACATATTCCCCCACACACACACTCAGGAAAAGTGATCCCTCCATCTAAATCAGAAATCTTGCTATGCTGTAGAATGTTCCACTCTCTGTACTTAGCTTTGAAATATTTCTAAATGAGAAGTGTCCATGCTTCACTGGTCTTGCTTCCTGCTGAGACCACAATGAGTGTTAGGTGTTTATTGTGATAGTTTACAGCTGTGACAGCACCCAGGAAACTAAGGCAAGCCTGGACCACATCAAGTTCCAGGCCAGCCAGGAGTACAAAATGAGACCCTATCTCAACAAACAAATGAAGGGAAGAGATGGTTCAGTTGTTAATCCTGGGTCAGTACCCAGGAACCACATGGTGGTTCACAACTGCCTGTAGCTGCAGTTCCAGGGCACCTGGCACCACTCTGGCCTCCCTGGGCACCAGGAATGCACTCCATTCACTTGCACATAGGCAAAACACTCATGCACATGAAATAAAAATAAAAACTTTAAATAAAACCCAACAGGCTGGTAGATGGCTCACCAGGTAAAGACACTTGCTGCCAGCCCAGATGAGTTTAGTTCCCAGAACCTTTATGGTAGGAAAACCAACTCCTGAAAGCTATCTGATCTCCACACAAAATGAATGTACTTTGTAAGTATATAAAAGATGCCTCAGTGGTTAAGAGCATGTACTGCTCTTACAGAGGACCTGGGTCAATTCCCAGCACCAAGATCATGGTTCATAACCATCTGTAACTCCAGTTTCAGGGGATCCAATGTCCTCTTTCTGCCTGTGAGGGTACACAGATTTACATGCAGGCAAGAACATTTATACACATCAAATAAAAATAAATATTTTAAGATAAAAGCAATAATCACCAAGATAGTCTAGCTTTTTGTGACAGTTTCACTACACAGCCCAATCCTCCGGCTACTACCTCCAGAGTGCTGGGGTGACAGGCCTGCACCACTACACAGGCTAACAGGCATTTGGTAAGCACATAAATAGGTAATCTCTACTCCTCTAGTGGCATTTCAAGGGCAAAGAGGTTAGCTCAATGACCCAATGGATTGTCTTTGGTGCCCTTCAGAAGCTTCCATGGTCAGCCCACTAG